TATTGTTTTATGTTCCACTTAAAAAAATTCTTGTCAATTTAAATGATACAATGCTCTCTTATTTCTCAGTTTATAGTTTTTTAGAGACCTCTTGTAGACACAGGCATATCTGCTTCACTAATATCATATTTACTCCTTGCTGTTGTTTCCATGCCATTCTGACTACCCAACAACTTTTGTTTCAATGCTGAGTCAACAATACAATCTTTCTGAAGACACTTTAGAAGGCAATAAAGTTCAACACATCCATACCAACTGTGTAGGACTCAACTGGAGTACACCATGAAGGGCTTTGACCAGGTCTGGCTTGCACAGGCAGTAACAACTACATCCCATCATCTCCTGTTGCACCTACAGCAATTGTAAGGTATCATCAATTGGGGAAGCATCCCTATTTTCAAAATATCAAAATATGAAAAAATGTGCATCTTAGAATTACTGAAATATGGAAACATAAAATCTGTATATATTATCACTCAACCACAGTTAATACACTGAGAAACTTTTTGAACTATTCAATGTAACAACACATTTTTGCTACCTTTTGGGTTTTAGGCCTTCCTAGGCTCTGAGGAATAAAAATCTAAGTCATTACCTTTGCCCTTGAGTTTGAGAAAGGGGACCAACATAGAAAGATATGTAAGGAGTCTTCAAAAAGTTCCTGGAAGGACTCATATTATCTTTTAATTCTATTTTTTCAAGAACTTTTTGAAGTACCCTCACATTTGTAATACAAAATAAGAAGGGCTATAATGGAAGTATGACAAAGTGCTATGGGAACAGAGGAGGAAATAACTAATTCTGCTTAATTAATAATTAAAGATGCATTACTATTTTGTGTCACAATTTTTATGACAATTTTTAAGGATATAATGGCTTTTTATTTTTGTGGGCTCCAACTCTAGAAAACTCGAATTTGAACTTGGGTTCTCAGACATTACTACTCTTTTACTTACCATTATGAATACAGAAATAATCCTTTGATGTTTAATAAGAACAAAAACCATTCAAAAGGGAAAGATCAAACACATATCAAATGTGGGTAATTCAACATTTTGGATATTTGGGGCAATGTTTTCTTTCAATTTTAAGGTGAAAGTGAAAGAGACAATAATCTTAAATAGTTTAAAAATCAGTAAGTAACTTATTTAAAAAGAGATTCCAACAATAATTAAAAACTCATTTTAGTCTTTTCAACAGATGGTGCTGAAACAATTGGGTATCATATGCAAAAACTGAAAAGTGAACCTCAATTATACCTCACAAAAATAAACTCAAAATGGATCATACAGCTAAATGTAAAAAAGCTAAAACTATAATATTTCTAAAACGAAAATTTTTTTTGACCGTGATTAGGCAAAGATTTCTTCAACATGACACCAGAATTCCAATCTACAAAAGAAAAAGTGATAAGATTTCATCAAAATTAAGAGTTTCTGCTATCCTAAAGACACTGTTAAGAGAATGAAAAGACAAATCACAGATTGGGAGAAAAATTCACAAATCACATGTCTGATAAAGGACTTGAATATAGAATATATAGAAGAGCACTTCAAGAAGATGTATAAAGATGCATCATTAGGCATTAGGGAAATACAAATTAAAACCACAGTGAGATAACACTTCACACACAATAGAATAGCTAAAATTTAAAAAGCTGACAAAACCAAGTACTGACAAAGATGTGGTGAAACTGGAACTCTCATACATTCCTGATGGGAATGCAAAATGGTACCACCACCACTTTGATAATTCATTTGAAAGTTTCTTATAATGTTAAAAATACACTTACCATACAATCCTGCAATCCCTCTCCTAGGTATTCAACAAAGTGAAATGAAAACCTATGTTCACATAAAAGCCTGTGTACAAATGTTCGTATCAGCTTTATTCATAACTGTCAGAAATTGCAAACAGATGTACCTCTAATGGAGAATGGATAAGTCCATACATCCATACAACGGAATACTACTTAGCAATAAAAAGGAACAAACTACACATTCATACAACAACATGAATGAATCTCAAATGCATTATGCTAAATGAAAGAAACCAGACTCAAGACTGTATACTGAATAATTCCATTTTTATGACATTCTTGTAATAGAGACAGAATATGGACCAGGGGTTATCAGGGACTGGGTGGGAGGGGAGAGATTGACTACAAAGGGGCACTGGGTGAGGTTACAATGGTGGTGGAACAGTTCTATATCTTGATTATCCTGGTGGACACATGACTAAATACATTTGTCAAAATCCACAAAACTTTACACTAAAAAAGAATACATGTAAATTACAATTTTAAAAAATTTATACCAAATTAGAAAAATGACTTAAAATTAAGGGGAAAACAAAATTTTGCCTAGCTCAAACCTAACATAAACAACAGTGTCCACTTTGGGTTACCAAACACATAAAGAAAGAATTTTAAGAGAATATAATGTAATTTATCAGGAAAGAAAAATGTTTAAGTTTAGGAAGCAAGCATAAATAAATTGGTAAAACTAGTTCTTCAAATATATCATAATCAGAGTGGCAGATTTGCCTATTTATAAAAACCTTGCCTTTTCACTAACAACTAAGCAGGCAAGCTGGTGGAAATGGCCTGCTTGGTTTAAATGAATAAGGTTGATGACCCATGAAACAAAGAGCACAATGTCTGGCACTAAGTAAATACTGAACAAGTGGTAACCAAACTGTCACCTCTCACAGAGTGATGGAGACACAAAAGATTACTCAGAGCCCATGTATTCAGAGCAATGAGAAGCCTGAAGGGACTGCACCAAGGAAAACTCCTTCAAAAGAGGAGAGCCCAGGCACGGCCCCAAGTCAGTTTTTGCTTCAGTTTTTATTATAAAGACAAGAAGGTTACAGAAGAAAAACAGATGGTTAATCAATCATAGTGAAAACATAAACAAACTGGCTATGTGACAATCTTCCTTAAGGCATGTGTAGTTTAAAATAGTTCAAGCAATTTACCATCAAAAGGAGTCATAAAACTAAGCCATGTGATGTACAAAAAGAAACAATGAGATAATCACCCAAAGCACCTAACTCCCTAAGAAACTCAAAGAAACAGCTTAGGGAGAGATATGGAACGTCCCCCAGGTGCTAACTAATCTAGCAGAATATCCCTGAAGATTTTAATTTACATACTTTCCCATCTTTTAGGTTTAGCTGAACTAAGAACAACTGCTCCCCAAGCAATTGCTTTTCACTGTGCTTCAATTCTCTTATCTACATCAAAGTCTTAGTCCTGTGAAAGTTTTCTGGTCTTTCTCAATCTTAGCATTTCTACGTGTTTTTCTAAAGGGTTGGGGTTTGGCCCCCTATACTAGAGTCTTTGGTTTCCTAAACTACAGACTTTGGCCTTCTATGCTAAGGACTTTGGTCCTCTAAACTTACAGGCTTTGGCCTTCTATACTAAGGACTTTGGTCCTGTGAAATACATGTGCTTTATTTCTATCTCATTAATAATTTCTTAGTTAATATCCTCTACATTGCAAGCTGGTGGAAATGGGCTGCTTGTTTTAAATGGAAAAAGTTGACAACCCATGAAACAAAGAGCACAATGTCTGGCACTAAGTAAATGCTGAACAAGTAGTAACCAAACAGCAGCAACAAAACAAACAAAAAACTTTTTTGTCAGCATTTCAAAATAACAAATTAGTTAAAACAACTCCTACTGATGTTTATTTCTCCAAAACAAAACAGTTGCTTAAATGGGCACAGGCTTCCTTCTAATATGAAATATGCACCAATTCAGCATACTTTATGAAAAAGTGCAAGTAAATGTTTAGCTAGAAAATTTGACTCATCGCCATGTCAACATGTGACTTTTAAGTTTTAGTAACTGCTCTGCTATCCACTGTAATTATTTTATAGGACTTATTTTCCAAGCTTTCTGTTATCATTGATGTTTTGAGATAATTGTTACTTAAAACACCTAAACATTTTTGTCTGCTTTAAAAAAATGAATTATTCTTCAGAAATAGCATTTAAGTTCACTTTTGGCCCTAAAGTGCTGTACTTATTTTGAAATAAAACATTCTGAAGGTAAGGGATAGATCAAAAAAAGGGAACAACCAAAAAAATTAAACTTTGAGATGGAATTTTATAGACAAAATTAAAGTCTTATCGATGAGCCCTGGATGAGGAATTCATACATTAGGCCAGCATGTTAGCTCAGACGCTACATAGCCACATCAGCTTAGTCCAGTCTTCTGAGCTTTCTGTGTCTCAGTTTCTTAAACTATAAAATGAGGTGTTGAATTAGTGTTTTAAAAGAGATTTGTAAAAGGGATCGTCTGTGATGAACTAAATAAACAAATATTCACCTGACAAAGTGCCCTGAGAACCCTTGCAAGGTACTTATAATAGCTTCTTAGAAAGAATCAGTACTGCCTTTGTACTCAAGAATTTCTTTTTTAAAGGAACAGAAAAGCAAAAGCGTAGGCCTCAGTTGTATAGATATTCTGGAAAAGAACACAAACTCATTCTTAATTGTTATGACATATTTTCAAATGAGCAAAAATCTCTAAAGATAAAGATAAGGTGACCAACTGTCCCGGTTTGCCTGGGATAGCAAGAGTTCCGAGGAAACAAAACTTTCTATTTTATAACTGGGACAGTCCCAGGCAAACCAAACCCAGGACAGGGGGGTTCCCAAGACCCTTTCTATAGACCATACTGATTACAGAGTAGACAAGACAAAGCTGAGCGTGCCCAGTGTAAATGGCTTTCTTAATCATCAAACTGGCTTCCTTAACTATCTCTAAGGTGTGTAGCACCTTCCTCACCTTCCTCACCCAAGGTGCTGAATCTGATATTAAGATGAAGAACTATGGAAAAGAGAAAAATTTCCCTTGTTTGTTCCTTTACATCTTTCTACCGTTTTTATGAATCTGAGAAGCTTCCCACCAGCCATTAATACTGAACATCCTTTTGAACACTGACATGTATTCTAGTAGCTGATCAACTTTCCTGTCGTTACTTTTCAGCCCCTGAGTTTTGAAAGCAAAAAAAGCTACACCTTAAAAGTGGAGGGAGCCAATTCTCACCTAGAGATGCGTTTTCTGAACTTGGGCCCATTTCAGGACACAACAACAGTACATATCAACGTAGAAGATGTGGATGAGCCCCCTGTATTTGAACCTGGCTTTTATTTTGTGGAGCTGCCTGAGGATGTGGCAATTGGAACGACCATACAAATCATTTCTGCCAAGGACCCAGATGTGACCAACAACTCAATCAGGTTTTTCCACAGATTTCACCTTTTCCTTATATCCTGGACTCTCCCTCCTTTGTATGTAATTTTCTAGCACTTCTTCTCTTTGCTTCTTCCTTCTCTACCCCATGTCTGGAAACTCCTTTTCTTTGAATATTTTTCTGTTTAAATAACATGGCCTTGTCACATTATTTAGCAGTGAAGTGTCATTATGTCTACAGCTCACTTTCAACTGGTTCAGCTACACACATACACACACACACACACTCACACCTGAGTTCTCAATTGTGGTCCTATGAACATTTGGGTCTGGATAACTCTGTGTTGTTGGGAGTGGGAGGGTATCCTGTGCACTGAGCGATGTTTAGCAGCACCTCTGACTTTTACCCACTAAATCCCAGTAGCACTCCCTTAGTTGTAACAACCTAAAATGTCCCCAGATATTGCCAAATGTCCCAGGGAAGTGGCACAAAATCACCCCCAGTTGAGAACCACCTATTCAGGATAAAGCACAGTCAGAAACACAGATGTCAGAACATTAAAAACTGTTGACTTTTAGTGGTAAATATAAAGGAGACCACTGTACAGTCTTTCAACTTTTATGAAACTTGCACATTTTTTTATTTTTAAAAAATGGGGAAAACATATACCATATATATTTCCATATACTATAGAAAAAAACAGACATACACACACTGCTGTTTTCAGGGGCTTTGATACCATGTAGACTGGCCAGATAGGCTTTGTATTACAATCCCACATATCTGTCTCTCCAAGGTATGTTTTGAAATGACAGATTCCAACCAAGATGCTTCCCCCTGAAAGAGGAGAACTGCTGTTACAACCATGGCCATTTCCCATTAACTCTGGAACCAAAGTGCAAACAGCTGGTGGACAGGTTGACACCTCAACCTTCCAGAGCAATTGCCAAGCCTCTGAAGCTTGACACAAAAGATCAGAATTCCAAGGCTGTTTGAGGCCATCTGTCACATTAATTGTTGAAAGCCACAGAGTAAAATTAATCTGGGGCTTTAGTGCAGATAACACATTTTAAACACACGCCAATTTATCAAATGCCTTTTCTGTAAACTGGCTACTTCCCTCACTTGGTGCTATTGTGTATTTAACGATGATGTGTTTGCAGTTTAACAAGAAAGGTTCTCTCCAAAGAATAACTATACTAGAGGGAAATCTGCTTCCTCTAGCCAACTAGTAAACACTGTACATATTCAGGCATTAAAATGGCTGAAATTATTTTGTTTGGATTCTGATATTTGGTTTCTTTAAGGCAACTAATCTGAGTTATAACAACTTTATAGAATTAATATTTCAACCACAAGCTTTTTAAATATAAAATAGGGGACCCTGATGTGCTGGCTCTGTGGATGAGTGCATATCTGGAGCTCCTAGAGTCGCTCTGGGAAGGCAGGAGCAGTGGCTGCGGCAGGCGGGGAGAAGCCCAGGCAGAGATGCAAAGCAGAAAGGGGTGCAGAGAAGTAGAGGAACAGCAAGACAGAAACAGACCTAGAGAGTCAGGGCACAAAGAGAGTGGCTCTCGGTGAACTTTTGGAGAAGGAAAGGGGCCTGAGCAGCTGGGGCTGCATTCTTGGGCCAGGGGCAGCGGGACACCAGGCACTCCCCAGGCCCCAAGTCCCAGGTGCGAACTCCTGATCCTGTGAGCCCGGGTGGAGGCTGAGGTGTTCGTGGGATGCAGGACCCCCACCTCTACCCTCGGCAGATGCTGTAGGCCAGGAAGGGAGTGCAGGCTGAGCTCAGGACCTGGAGCCTGGAGGGTGATAAATAAAAATAATGACATAGGATGAGAAGAATTTAGTGAAGCTAAGATAGGTGCCTGGTTTCTGTGGGCTCAGGTTACAGGACAGCTTCTGGGTTTCAAGCCATTCCCCAAGGTCTCAGGCCCTTCCTGTAGTCCCTCCCCTAGAGGAAAGTTACTGTTGCTAGTTAGACCTATTTTCAGCACCAACCAGACATCTCAGGAGGACGACTTATGCAAATCCAGTGACCGGCATGCTAATAGAAAGGGGTTATATGGGCCGACCCCGTGGCGCACTCAGGAGAGTGCGGCGCTGGGAGCGCAGCAGCACTCCCGCCGCGGGTTTGGATCCTATATAGGAATGGCCGGTGCGCTCACTGGCTGAGCGCGGTGTGGGCGACACCACACCAAGGGTTGCTATCCCCTTACCGGTCACGAAAAAGACAAAAAAAAAAAAAAAGAAAGAAAGAAAGGGGTTATATAACCCTAATAGCCAGGCATGCTCAGTAAAATGGAATTTATATTCATTAGACAACATGAATACATATTATATAGCCAGACTATAAAAGCTGAATCCTGGCAGAAGGAAGGGTTGTCGCTCACTTTCCTGGGGCCAAACCACATTTCGCCCGTTGAGATGTGTATCTTTCTTCTGTATCAAACTTACTTTCGGCAAGGGGCTGCTCACTCTCTTGAGCTAGCCTGCACTCCTTACTAGACTGTGAATGTTTCTTTCTTTTATATTAAACGTGGTGTGGGCCCTGCTTGGTCTCTGGAGCTAGGCCACATGCGCACACTCTGTGAAATATGTATCTTTTATTCGTTACATTAAACTTGTTCTCACTTTCTACTGTGACTCTGCCCTTGAATTCTTTTTTGTGGTGGAGTCAAGAACCTGGTAAGAGGATGGGATGGGTTGAGGCCAGCTATCAGCCCTTCCCAGACCCCTTCTCCTCCAGCATCAAAGCGATATTATCCCCAAAACAACCACAACAAAAATGAAGCAGATTATATTGTAAATTTATACCTTCACAAGACCAGAATATATACATTCTGATCAATTAATTAATCTATTGATATAAAAGAAGATACTATGGAGAAAACTTTAGAGAATAAAGCTTTATGAGGGGAAACTGAAATAAAATAAGTACAAGGTTGAAAAAACCAGATCCCATTTCTAAAATAGTCGGAATATCCTATGGGTACTTCCACATCTTCCCAGATTCTGACTCTGGACCCCTATGTGATAAACATTGGAAATAGGGGTCTGTTAGGGGACACTACTGAATAATAAACAAGCAAAAGAGACTGAGCACAGGAAACACACACACACCCCTAGAATGTAGAAGTTGTTATCTCAAGACATCTAGGAATGAAAGAGAAACACCAGCAGGTATAGATCCACTACTGGCCCGGAGCAAAATGTGGTAGACAAAATGAAGAAATCCTGTCTGGCTAACAGAAAATGCTCCTTCAGATGATGTACTAGTTGAAAACCATCCACTGGCCAGCACATCAGTTAGCATCAGGGAGGTTCGTTAATTGGAGTGCCTGACTATTCTAATAGAACCCAGCCAGGATGAATACGAGACTGGACAGGCCAGAGGCACAAAACAGGGTCCATAGGGCTATTCTAGATCCCTAGAGAAAAACTGGCAAGAACAAGGCCACATGCCTAGAAGTAACAAGACAAGGGCTCAGGCACAAGGGCAAAGTAGAATTCCACTTATCAAAACTGGGGATAATTCTCCCTGCATTTTGGGTGCAAAGATCAATTGGAATTCATATTTCCAGGTATAAGTCCCTGACTTTGTACTTTCCCATAGCAACCATTCACACATTGTATACATGCACTGTATACAATGGTCCTTGGCCCAAGCAAAACATCAGGAGTCTAAGACTCTTAGAGAGAAAAGCACCTAAAAGTCAAATATCTGGCTATCATTTAATAAACCTACTGGGAATGCTTTCCTCTGTTATCTTTCTGTGAATTGCTCATTTTATCCTTACTTTTCACGAAAAATTTATTTTCTTATAAAATAATTTGTATATATTATATGCTGTGTGGCTAATTCATCTTCTGCATTTTTGTTACAAAGAACAAATGAGATTTATTTTCCTAAAAGAATCCATATTAAATCACCAAAAAAACAACATATCACCTGAAGTTAAAATGTTGTAGATATGATATGATCATTGCACACAGTACAAATGTACCCAAATATCATATTGTACTCCATAAATATATACAATTATCATGGGTCAATTAAGAAAAATAAATTAAAGAGAAATAAGAGATTAGAATAGCGGTTACCAGAGGCAGGGAAAAGGATAGGGGCCGCGGAGGGGGCGCAGCCAGGGAAAGGGTGGTAGATTGGTACAAAGTTACAAGTACAAATGTACCCAAATATCATATTGTACTCCATAAATATATACAATTATCATGGGTCAATTAAGAAAAATAAATTAAAGAGAAATAAGAGATTAGAATAGCGGTTACCAGAGGCAGGGAAAAGGATAGGGGCCGTGGAGGGGGCGCAGCCAGGGAAAGGTTGGTAGATTGGTACAAAGTTACAAAGCTAGAGTTAGATAGGAATATAGTAAGTGCTGGTGCCCAACAGTGACAAGAGCTAATAATACTGTATTGTATATTTCAAGATAGCCAAAAAAGAGGATCCTGAATGTTATAATCACAAAGAAATGATAAATGTTTAGGTGATAGATATGCTAACTATTCTAATTAGATCGTTATACAATATGTGCATTATACAAACAAATTGTACCCCATAAATATGTACAATGAAAAAAATAAGAAATTTTTTTTAAAAACCATTTAACATTTTTTCATGTTCAAAATAAATTTTTTATTTTTTATTGAAACATTGATTTTCATATTTATGGGGTAAAGAGTTATATTTCAATACATGTATACAATGTATAATGATATATTCAGGGTAATTAGTATATTCATCAATGCAAACTTAATCATTTATGATATGAACATTTGATCTCCTCTCTTCTAATCGTTTGGTAACATGCAGTAAATCATTGTAAATTATAGATTTTCGGATCAACTGTACACAATAGGACTTACTTTTCCTATCTTAGCAGTAATTTTACATCCATTGACCAGCCTTTCACTATTCCCCCTCCCTCCTCCCTTTTCTGGCTTCTAGTAACCACAGTTAGATCTCTCTCCTTCTCACAGTTCCATTATTATTTGTTTTGTTCTCTCTTTTAGCTTCCACATATG